AACTTCAGGTGTGAAATTCCCCATTGCAAGGCCAGTGGTGGGTCCGTGGCACACAAGGTCTGTGCCTCGGTTGCCAAGAGGCCACAATAGCCCTCAGATCTTTCCCTGAGCACCAGCAAGGAGAGACAGGGAATTCCTGATTCCTTACTGGATTCTGCTCCCTGCAATGATGTCCAGAAGCCCTGAACATCCTGGTGCTATGGGATTTTTGGGGCTCCCAGCTCAACAGCAGCCTCTCCTCTTCCCCTGCAGCCTCCCAGTGGCAGGGGAAACTTGCCCCATTCCTCACTGAAGCATCCCTAAATAAATCTGGTCCCACGGGACCTTCTGCATAAGAGGAATCTGCTTTTTGCAAGAAGGGAGAGTGATGGGAGCTGCCCGAGTTGTTGCTAGAGTAGTAGCAACGTTGTCTATGTTCCAGTTCGACGGAGACATCCGCGTCCTCACACAAATGATGGTTGACCCTGCAGCAACGGAGAAGAGGGGCGGAGGGAAGAACCTCCCGCTCCGACGAGGAGAAATTCTGGATGTCATCCAGTTTACAAACGAGGAGCAGATCCTGTGCCGCAACAGCCAGAGGAGATGTACGTGCAGGGGGGCTGGGGCTGTGGCGAGGCTGGGCAGCACCATTCAGCTTTTACCAGCAAACAGCTGCTGTTAGAAACGTCTTTCTTGATGGCACTGATGGACAGGAGGGGACATCGCCTTGCTCTTAGGAGAGACTCACTGTTTATCCCCCTCGTGCCCTTTCTTCTGGCGCTTCCTGACACCCTTTTCCTTGCTCTTTTCCAGATGGCTACGTGCCCCGGGCCGTGATGCTGCGCCTGTGAGTATCCCCTTCCCCAGCCCGTTCCTCCCTGTTGCAGCAGATGTGGGGGGACAGGAGGAGCAATAAAAAACAGCAATGAGCAACAGGGCCAAGACACGACGGAGCCGTAGGAGATGAGCTGACCCCTGCCTGGGTGGCGGGAGGGGGTGGCAGCATTCCCAAGGGTGCCCAGGCTCCGCGTGACGCCCTGTTCTTTCTCCTCGCAGGGACACTGACATCTACGACGACGTTGAGATCTACGGTAGGTTCAGCGGTGAGTTGCTGCCTTAGCTCCTTGCTCGGAGGCTGGAGCGGCCTGTCTGGGGTCGGAGCGCTGCTCCCTCCGCACAGGGAAGGCAGCAGAGCTGCTCCGAGCTCATCCGGGGCCTTCCCGGGTCCAACGGGCACTGTATTCCCTACTCGGAGCAGGTGGAGATCACACAGGCCATGGCCCCGTCCCCAGGCAAGCACCCTGTGCCAGGAGGCAGCACCAGGCCCCCTTCCTGTCCCCTTGCCACATGCCAGGTCCCCTCTCTGTGTTTTCTGTGATTTCCTCAGTTTCCCCTTTTCTCTGGGACATCCCTTTCTGTCTCTTGGTTCCCCAAAGGCTCTCACTTCCTCCCTTCCCAATGATTAGGGCTTCCCCTGACCATTTCCCTTCTCATCTGGTCCCTCCACTTGCTCCCCAGCCCATAGGGACCCATCAATGTCCTTCAGGATGTCCCTGATCACACCGAGACCCAGGGATGCCCTTCCCAGAGCAGCCGCTGACTCCTGGGATGGGAGCTCCTTCGCTTGGACGCAAACAGCTCTGAAGATGGAGATAGATGTATTTAAATGGTAACAACAAACTATTGTATTAATGAACTAGATATTAAACTATTTCTGTGTTGCAGGTTGAACAATCCATGCTAAAGCAAAAATCATGAGACATCTGCAACACAAGAGACTTCTGTGAGGGCTAAACATGGAAAGCCCTGAGTGCCGTCTGCTGCCTTTCCAACAGCCCCAACGTGACCGTGTCCTGGTCAAGGCGCCGGGAATACTCATCATTCCTCAAGGATCTTCTCCCCCAAACACAGGGAGCAGCCAGAGGGTTAAAAGTGATATTTAAATCCAGCTGTCTTCTCTGTGGCTTTATTTTGTGTAAAACATGGCAGTGATGTGAGAGGGTTTCACGGGAATAACTGGGGATTTTTTGAACTATTTTTTTTCTGGTTTCAAAATGCTTCTTGTGCTGGAAAAGGGCAGATATCACCACAATGGGGTTTCAGTGCTAGCACTAGAAATGTGATAACTAAGAAGATATAAATAAAAGAAAGCGGTTAGAAGGAAAGACACTTTCAAAAGGCAGTTTTCCTTTTGCAAAGTCTCCTTAGAAGGGCCAAGCTCGGCCCTTATGCTGACCGGGAGATTACAGGGGGGCTTTAAAACTGCTGGGAACATAAACTCTCCAGTGGCAGAGACAGGATCCAGAGCCTCTCAGATGAGGAATCCCAAAGAAACGGGATCTCTGGGCTCCGATTCCTGCCTGCGGTGCTGGGGATGCAGGAGGGTTAACCCGAAGGCTCCGGAGCCTTTCATGGAGCTCACTAGAAAGCCAAGCCCAGATTAAGCAGTCGAGGACGTCACTGCCCATTAGGGAGAAAGGTCCCCAAATAGCAACAACGCGGGGATTAGGTGCCAGGTGCCGGGCTCCGGCGCGGTCCCTCGCACCGGGCAGCTCCCGTGGAGCTGCCGCCCGCAGCGATGAGCCGGCCCGGCGGGACCGGCACCTGCACCGCGGGGCCCGG